ATTGGTTTCACATCTTTTTGAATTTTATATGAATGGAATCATATCACATTTATACTTCCGTGACTTGCTTTTTCACTCAATATTATGTTTCTGAGATTTGTCCAAATAAATATGTGCAGCTATATAGTGATCCTTTGAAAATTCCACAATTTATTTTTTCTATTTTGTCTCACCGTTGTTTTTTTTTAAATCTAATGCTGTGTTTAATTCTCTAAGATCTATTCTTGGTCCTTGCTCTTCAATATAAATTTTAGAATCAGTTTGTCAAGTTCCACCAGTTAAAAACTGTTTTGAGATTGTGAGTGGAACTCACTGAATCTATAAATCAGTTTGGGGAAAATCAACATCTACATGAAATTGAATTTTCCCGTTCATGAACATGGTGTGTTTCACCATTTAATCTTTTCAATGAAGTTATATAATTTTTTCTTGTAGAAAAATCCAACCTGTAATCAGGTGTTATCCATTTACCTCATAAATATCACTCAAATCTATCCTCTCCATATACATTGGCATCACCCTATAGCAGGGTTTCTCAGCCTCGGCACTACTGACATTTTTGACTAGATAATTCTTTGTTTTGGGGAGAAATCCCATACATTATAGGACGTTCTGGCAGAATTTCTGACCTCTACCTCCTGGATGCCAATTGCAGCACCCACCACCTTGCCGCACCTAGGTGCAATGACTAAAAATGTCGCAAACATTGCCAAATATCCTCTGGTGGGCAAAAGAGGCACCCAGTTGAGAATCACTGCCTTATACCAAGCTATCAGTATTTCTTGTCCACTGTACTGCAATAGCCACCTAGTATGCTTCCCTGAATCCACCAATCACTGCACCCTATCCCATAACCCATCTCCACACTACAACCAGAGGGATATTTCCAACTCCAATATTGTCAATCCCTGCTTAAAGCACTTCAATGGTTTCTCATTTCTCTTACAATAAAATTCAAAATGCTTGTGAGTACTTTATATTGTCTAGCTTGCAATTCTCCAGGTGCATCTTGTACTCCCTGCATCCTCCTTCTCCTCCTTCCCTGCACTCCAGACACACTGGCTACATTTCACACTGCCCTCTCTTTGTGGTTGTCCATCCTCAACTTACCACACTACAGAAGGCTGAGAGCCAACTGCAGTTCATTTCAACAGTCTTTGCTAAAGGGGATGGGAATGGGATCCAAGTTTTAGTACCTTACTATTTATGAATAGAGCTTGTCACTGAATGTCCAAATGCAATACTGACAACACTGTTAAGTAAACAAGTCTGCTAGAGTAGAGTCAAGCTTCTCTCCCACCTAGACAGATGAAGCTCACTGCCTTGGCTCATAGGGTTGCTACACCAGTAAATCACAAGAATTCTATACATAACCTACATAAATTTTAACAACTGCATCTGACAAAATCATTCATAATTCTCTTATAGTACAACAGATTAGATATAACTACAGTTGTTCGACTAACTGGATCTAAAAGTATGTATTAATTAATTAATTAATTAATTATGATCTCCCTAAAATTAAATGACATCTCCCTGAAAGCAACATACTACAGGGGTCTCAACTTGGTCCTACCTTATTTACACATTTTAATTAATGAATAGCTAAAGATATAGAATTATGATTACCAAGTTAATAAATGTCATAGGAGAAATAGCTAAAATAATTTATTAAAATCATACTTCAAAAAGATATCAACATAAATCAATTCAATGGAACAAGGTAGATAAACTAATAAGCTGAAATGTAATAGGAAGAAAAATCAACCACACAAAGAATGGGAGAGACCTAAATTGACAGGAGTTCAAGTAGTAAAATGTGGGTGTATCAGAAGATTACAAATTCAGTATGTCATCAATGCGACATGCTTATTTAGAACAAAACAACATACTTTTATATTGCTCTTTTCAGTTTCACTAATAAACTCCATATTATCAATTCTAATGGTCGATTCTCTACCTCATTTTCACCTCCCAGCAGCATGTTAACAAAGGTGATCCCCTTTTTGTACCACTTTCCCTTTTCTGGCTTTACATTCTCTTGATTCTCTTACCTCACTGACTGCCTTTTCCAGTTTCCTGTACATGACTCCCAAATTTCTATTTCCAGTCCAAATCTTTCCATTGAAATCTAAACACTTAGATGCATCTGCCTCACTATTATCGAAACCCCTACTTTCACCTCCCAACCCAAGTCTGCTTCTCCTGTAGTCTTCACCATCTCTGTCCTTCCAACTGCTCAGGCCAAGGCCTTCAGTCGTGTCCCTTCCTCCTACTCCCCCCGTCGACCGGCTTCATACCCTACATTCATTCATTCCATCAGTAAATGGCTCTGTCTACGAAATATATCCAGAATCTGACCACTCTCACCACATCCACTGCTCCATCCGTTCCCTTCAGGGTTGCTGCAATCATCTCCTAAGTGGTCTCCTTACTTCCAACTTTGATACCACGTCCCCACATTCTACTCTCGATACTCTAGCCAGAGAGTTCGTTTGAAAATATGTATTCATTCAACACTCATTCCAAGACTTTTTACTGAAATCCATCTTTGTGCTAGGCACTGTTGTAGATACTTAGAATATATCTGTGAATAGAAGAAATAAAAGTCACTGCCCTCATGAAGATTTTGCGTCCTGGAAAGGGACAGAAAATAAACTATAAATAAATAAATTACATACTGGGTATCCATAAGTGCCACAAGAAAAAAATAGGGCAGGTAAGGAAAGCAGTACTAAAAAACAGGGAAAGGTTACAGATTCGAATAGGAGGATAAGTCAAGGCTTCATTGACAAAGTAACTTTTCAGGAAAGACCTGATGGAAGTAAGAACTTAGCCTCGCAGGTATCTAGTGGAAGTCCAGTCCAGGCAAAAGATGTTAACAATAAGAATGCATAAAATATAGCTTAACTGATCTTCAACTGACCACATGACAACCTGAATAATACAAGATTTTAAACTTATTTTTATGTAAATATTCCTTGTATTTTACTTTTTATTGTATTTTTCCACTACAATTTACCCCCATATCTCCCCTCAGCCAGCAATCACCACATTGCTGTCTATGTCCATGAGTCCTTTTTCCTTTATGCTTAATCCCTCCACCCCATAAACCCAACCAGCTGTCATCCTGCTCTCCATCTACGAGTCTGTTCTCATTTTCCTTGTTAGTTCAGTTTGTTCATTAGATTCCATGTATGAGTGAAACCATATGGTATTTATCTTTCTCTGACTATCTTATTTCACTTAGCATAATGTTCTCCAGGTCCATCCATACTATCGCAAAGGGTAAAATTTTCTTCTTTTGTATGGCTAAGTAGGACATTGTGTAAATGTCTCATCGTTGTTTTATCCACTCATCTACTGATGGACACTTGGGCTACTTCCATATCTTGACAATTGTAAATAACGCTGCAATGAACACAGGGGTGCTTATGTTTTTTCAAATTAGTATTTTAGGTTCCTTCAGATATACTCCCAGAAGTGGGATCGCTGGGTCAAAAGGCAGATCCATTTTTAATTTTTTGAGGTATCTATATACTGCTCTCCACAGTGGCTGCACCAATCTGCATTCCCACCAGAACCCAGTGCAAAAGGGTTCCCCTTTCTCCACATCGTCTCCAGCACTTGTTATTTGTTGATTTATTGATGATAGCCATTGTTACAGGTGTGAGATGGTATCCCATTGTGGTTTTAATTTGCATTTCTTTGATTATTAGTGATGTTGAACATCTTTTCATATGTCTATTTGCCATCTGTATGTCCTCTTTGGAGAAGAATCTATTCAGGTCCTTTGCCCATTTTTTAATTGGATTGTTTGGTTTTTTGGTGTTGAGTTTTATAAGTTATTTATAAACTTTGGATATTAACCCTCTATCAGATGTATTGGCAAATGTGTTCTCCCATTCTGTGGGTTGTCTTTTTATTTTGTTGATGGTTTCCTTTGCTGTGCAAAAACTTTTTAGTTTGATATAGTCCCAATTGTTTATTTTTTCTTTTATCTCCCTTGCCTGAGAAGATATATCAGAAAAAATTATTGCTAAAATGTTCAAGATTTTACTGTCTATGTTTTCTTCTAGGATTTTTATGGTTTTGGATCTAACATTTAAGTCTTTTATTCATTTTGAATTTATTCTTATGTGTGGCATAAGAAGGTGGCCTAGTTTCATTTTTCTGCACATATCTGTCCAATTTTCCCAACTAACTATCTTTATTTGAATAAGCTATCTTTAGTCCATTTATGTGCTTGCTTCCTCTGTCAAATATTAATTGATTATAAAGGTGTGGTTTTATTTCTGGGCTCTCTATTCTGTTTCACTGATCTATGTGTCTGTTTTTATGCCAGTACCATGCTATTCTTATTATTATGGCCTTATAGTATAGTTTGATATTAGACAGCATGATTCTTCCAACTTCGTTCTTCTCAAGATCGCTCTTGCTGTTTGGGACCTTTTCTGGTTCCATATAAATTTTTGAAATATTTCGTCTAGTTCTCTGAAATACATCATTGGTATCTTTATAGGAAGATTTTAAACTTTTTTTTTGTAAATATTACTTGCATTTTCTTAATTTCTTAATAAAACCACAAGTGCTTTTTCAGAAATAATAAATAAAATATTAGAAACTACTTATGTACGTGGTAAGCTTTAAGCCTTTTTCTAAAATATAATTAGGAGTTTTGCCTTCCATTTCATTGAGTTTTTTTATGGCTCATAAAAAGCAGTTAGAAAGGCCTGCAGTTTTTGATATACACATAGGACATAACTAATACTCAGAAAAAGAGCAAGTGCATCAAACACAGCAGATCACCTAGATCTAGCTTGCAAGAAATATAAACATTTTTCAAATAAGTATACTGACTGGTTTTTCAGATTAAATAAGTTATGAAACTAATGGTAAGCAAAGTCATTGGATTTATTAACACAATGAAGTTATGGACTTTTAAAAGCTTGTTAGTTCCCACCTAATTGGATGAGATTAGCACAATGGTTTGTTTTTACCTTCCGGCGGCCTGTTGGATGTTGCCACAACGACGACCCCATTTTTGAACAGATTTTCAAAAAGCTGTTTCAGAATCATGGCATCAGCAATGTCAGTGACCTATGGACAACAACACATTTGTTTTATTTTAATTTCACTTCTGTTCTAACAAATTTGCTAATGGCTCATCTTTTTCTTTTTTAAGAATGAAAGCAAATTCCAAGAGAAAAATTCTAATTACCATCACGAAGAGCAGATAATTAAAAGCATGAAAAACTGTATAGTAGTTTTTTAAACTTTACTCTGCTTTTTTGCAAGCCTTTCATTTCTACGCAAATTATCAAATGGTTCTTTATTAACTTCTTTTATAAACTACAGGTGGAAAGCATACATAATTGTCCTAAACATTTACAAAGTCTAATTAATTAGAACTAACATGACCAACTCCCTCCTCCTATCCCCATCACGGCCCCAGTTCTCCAAAAAAAAAAAAGAGAGAGAGAGAGAGAGAGAAAATATGCAGACTGTAAGAGATTTCTAATACCTTTCTGGCAAAGGTCTCTCAAAAGGTGACTTTAAACGGTCATGGAACTTTAGAAATAAGGACAAGTAGCCAGTGAGACATAATCAGCTGCTGTTGAAAATAGAATGATATGACATAGATACTATTGTGCAATTGTTGCACAAAACAATTCAACAGATGGCCCATCACAAAAATAAGCAATTTCATTGTTCTTTTTAAGTGCCTTCTATTACTGTCCATGAATAATTAAAAGGCACTGCAGTCACTTCCAGCACAGCCAGCCTCTGCTAACCTCTGTAAACACAAATATTCCTTCTACCAAAAATAAATAAATAAATAAATAAATAAATAAATAACAACTTACAAGAATGGTGAACACAGTACTTTAAAAAAACAACTTCTAGCCCTGGCGTGGGTAGCTCAGTTGGCTAAAGTATGCTCCAGATACTAACCCAAGGTTGTGAGTTTGATTGCGGTCAGGGCACATACAAGAATCAACCAATGAATGCATAAATAAGCAGAACAACACTGTCTCTCTCTCTTTCTCTCTCTCTCTCTCTCTCCTCTCTCCTCTCTCTCACTCCCTCCCTCCCTCCCTTCCTCCTACTCTCTAAAATCAGTAAATAAAAGTTAAAAAATAACTTTTGACAAAACAAGAAATGCAGATAAAATTATTTAAGTACAGAGATGCATATAACTATTGATTTTTTCTAAAATTATTTTTTAAAATACACAGTTAACAAATAAGCTTAATGATAACTTTTTTAAAAGCTTTTAAAAATCACAAAAAACTATAAAAATTAGGAGGGATGTAAGTTGACTTCAAAAATAAATATATAATGAAGTTTGAATTAATCATCATACCCTCCCTTATGAATATAACATGGGTTTTAGATACTCTCAATGTAGAAATGTTTTGACCTTTCTTTAATAAAACATCTTAGATTTTAGATAATCTCAATATATTCATAAAATATATAACTCAATATATACCACATTGTTATTTTTAAATCATGTTAGAGTACATAGAAACTAGTGGTATTCTTTCAAATTAGATCAAAATACTGTAAATTACCAAGTAACTGATTCTAACACAACTAACAATAACAAGCTGGATTTTAGACAGGTCTCAATCACGATCTCTTTACAGTTAATATCTTACTCAAAAGTTAAATTATTTCCTTCCCACTTGAAGGAAACAAAACAAGACCAGGATATGGGAATGTGCAAATCTTTTTTCTGTCTCAAGTTGTAATTTTAAAACATAAACTAAAAACCTATTGAAGGTTCTTATATTAAAAAGGCTTCAGAAACTTACAAAGTAGTGGTTAAAATGAAAAGGAAAGTGGTACTGATATTAATTTGGAGCTTAGGATCACTGTCAAATTTTGCTTCCGCAAGAAACACTTACAGAGAAGGCCCTTTTCAAATGCCAAACACCAGTGGAATTTCTGATGAGAGGACAGAACAAGCTTACAAATTTTAGAAGCAACTGCACTTTTAAATTGAATTCCCAATATGCTGACTTTTAAAAAGAATATTATCAATTAAAAGTTACCCAATTTTAGAGAATAAAAATGGTCATTTAACTATCTCACTGTTGTTTTTGAAAAAATTTTAAATAAGCATTTGTGCCCTAAGATTCAGAAAAATAAGGGGACATTTAGCATCCAACACAGAGCAAAGGTTTAAAAAGAAAGTTGGAGAAAGCAAATAAGACTTGTGGTTAACTTATCACTAGTTGTTTCTGTATTACAGCATGCTTTTGCTCTGTAAGAGTAAATTAACTTGAAGAAGCTGTGGCTAATTAATAAAGCAGAAGTCACTTGTTGTAGTGGGTGCCAATATATGCTCTTTTGATCTTGTCCCTGTACTTGTTCAGCTTTGCTGGGGAACAGTAATTTTACAGTATAAGTGAACAGAAGACAACTGGCCACACATTCTTGAAGAGTGGGCTTTTTTCAGCACCCAGCATTTCATTACTACCAGGAACAAAAGAGAAGGCTACAGATTACCAATAAGGGTAGTCTGCTAATACAGAGAGTGAAGACATTTCATTAGCATTAAAGAGAAAAGATTTTTTATGACCTAGAGTTGCTTTCCATTATGACTCACTTAAGTAAAAAAGAAAAAAAATCTAATGGTTAATTTACATGTGTAAGTGCTTGAGTCTCAGTCATTCCACTGATTGGTACAGTACCATGTAATGAGTGACAAACATAAGCATGCATTATCAGTAATTAGTATTAGCACAAAAATAAGCACCTGTTTTTATTAGCAGTTTTTAATAGCTTTCCTGTTTTATAAAAATGGGCAAAACTATTTTTTAAATGATATTGATAGCTTATAGAGGAGAATTTTGCATGATATTCTGCTCATCAGAAATCTTTTTTTTTAACCATATTAGTAAAACATCTATCCAGTGTCCCTAAAAAAGAGGCAGGAAGAAATAACATTTTTAAAAATAGCTTTCCTTCAGTATTCTGATATCTTCAGAATCATTTTTCAGAAACAACTTAATAAGAAATATAAATATTCAAGGAGGGCATAAAGAAGTCCCTAAAGAAAACTTTAAGGAAAACCTGTTCTTTTTATTTCAGCAACTAATATACATAAAAACAACCTATCTAAACAAATTCTCAAACAAAATAAAAATAATGTACCTAATATAGGTAGAACTGAAATGCTATACACTAAGACAAACCAATTTTGAGGAATGAAGAATATGTTCTGCAGATGCAATCTGAATGCTTCCAAAATACAGTCTTAAAAATGCCTTAAATTCAAGAGCATAAAAAAGAAAGAATAAGCCCTGGCCAGCTAGCTCAGTTGGTTAGAGCATCATCCCAATACAACAAGGTTGTAGGTTCAATCCCCAGTCAGGGCACATACAAGAAGTAACCAATGAATAAATAAATAAGTGGAACGACAGGGCGATGTTTCTCTCTTGCTCTCGCACATGCTCTCTTGCTCACTCTTTCTTTCCCTCTCTCTCATGAACACGACCTAAAGACCAATAATAACTAGTTAAAAATCAAGACTATTAATAGGATTCAACTTTAAAAGTGAAATGGTGATTGTAGATATACTGTCATTAAGATTAAATTGCCTAAAAATTTATTTTCTACTAAATTAGCAATGTAATATACTAGGTTTAATAGGCTTAAGGATAATTTTCAGGTTCTATCATTAAAACCATCTACTAAAAGTCTACCCAGTCTAGATCTTTATGTTTAAAAACATAGTAGAAGACATCATATAGCAAGGAGAACATAAAACATAGCTGTTACTACTAATGAATAAGAACACTGATAATGGATTCAAACTGAGTTATTAGCTGAATAACCTTGGACAAGTCATTTAATCTCTCTGACCCTTAATTTCTTCATCAATACATGAAGACTACTTACAAAATTATTATGATATATAGGGTAAATCCTCAAGATATGTTAACTACAACTATTACCTATGTATGGTATGTATGCTAGTACAGTTCCATATTATTTATGTATAGCTCTACAGAATTTTAGCTGAAGATATAATGACATAAACTATAGAGCATAATACAGGGGTTAGGAACATAGGCACATAAAGAGTACTAAGTACATAGTAGTTAATATTATAGAATATACATAATAAAATGTAAGCATTCTAATAAATGGCACCGTCTCAAATAGCTCATAAAAGATGGCTTTTAATTAGTAAGTAAACAAACATGGAAAAATTCAACCATTATTACTTAAAGGAGCATACATTAAAACAATGAGATGCCTGTTAAATTAGACAAAAGGTTGAGATAATTCAGAATGTTGACAGGAAAAAAATGTGGATTGTTGCTATATATAAGGGAAGTGGAACTTGGTTGGAGGACTACTTCAATAATTATCATATGGTATTAGGATTTATTTATTCATTTACTCATTCACTCATTATTATTATTCACTCATTCTCAAACACTGTTCTAGACATTTGAGATACAGCAGTTAGCAAAATAAAGATTCCTGTCTTCAGATTTACATTCTTATGGAGAAAAATATATAATGAACAATAAATATAATAAATAGGTAAATATACATATTAGAAGGTGATATATGTTATCAAAAAAGGAGGATAAAGGGCATTGCTGGTGGGGAGGTCAATGGAAAACTGCAATTTTAAACAGGGTGTAAGGTTAGGCCTTCTTAAGAAGCCAAAAATCTTGAGCAAAAATGTGAAGTAGTGAAAGTTATTCCGATGGGTATCGGGGGAATACTGTTCCATGCACAAAGAATGTCCAGTGTGAAGATGCAGGATGTTTGTTCTAAATTGTGTGGATATTGTGTATCTTAGTGCTGGCACAGCAATATTTGGGAGTATCCTTTTACCCTCTTGGTTTTTAGAAAAGGGGTAAAAGAAGAGATTTGAACTTGTAATGATCCAGTTTTGGTATGCCAGAGTTGCTTCTCTAACACCAGCAGAGAACCGTCCAGATATCATACCTAGGAAATCCAGGCCCTGCCTGCACAGCGATCACCTGGGCTCTTAGAGGACACATTCAGGCCCGTATATTCTCACTTTCTCTGGCACTTTTCACCAGTGGGTATATACATAATTGGCC